TTAGTTAATATTGCTGTACATATTTGTATAGTAGGGAGATTTTTTCAAATTATATAAATATACGTTATTTGAATATTGAATTAATACACGTTTGAGGAAAGGGTGCGATAGTAGACTCCAGTTATAAGATTATAAATATAATTTTCAAGAGAAAGTCGGTTCTTAACATATTTTCTAATTACCTTCGAAAATATATTAACCAAAAAAAAAAAAATAAACAATGCTTCATAGATCGATTTTTTTTTAAATGTAACTTCATAAAGTTCTTTAAAAATATTTTCTAAATGAGGCCATAAGAGCTTAGGGGGAGAGTTACAACACAAAAATACATTTAAGGCGCAGCGAAGCACGCCGGGTAATTGGTAGTCATTAATGAAATTATTGATTTTAGCTTGGACATCTTTAACATCATTAGTTAGAGTTGCGATTGCAGATGAAATGTTAAAGGGCTAACTATAATATGAATAAGTAAGCGTATGCAAACGTGCGAATACACATAAATCCTATTCTGAAACTATAATGTGCTTAACATCAAGTTTCGTCAAGTTTCGTCAAACGTCATTTGCTTAAGGAAAGAGCGATACTGATCGCACCTTCCGTACGGAATCAGCTGTTTGCAGAAAATAAAATTATTTTACAATGGAAGACGAAAGTTTTATAGAAAATTTAATTCAGCAAGTGGAAAAAAGAAAATGTTTATTTGATAAAAGGGATGCCTTTTATTTTAATCGGGCAATAAAGGAGAAAGCATGGAAGGCAGTCGCAGAAGTATGCGTTAAAAGTGGTATGTACTCGTATTAATGTATGAACATATATTTTTCTTTACTTATCAATTTTTGATATTTGTACAGATTCCGAGTGTAAACACAGATGGAAGCTACTCAGGGAACGCTTTTGGAAAGAGTTGAAAAGGTTAGAAGCTCCATCAGGTAGTGGGATGAACTACCTCGAAGAATGGCGTTTTCTAAAGCCAATGATGTTTTAAAAGACTCTGTCACTAATACACATTTTCAATGTTTTTGAACCATTAAAGTTGACATTTCTCTTGTGCAGCACTCGTGATAATGTAGACGACACAGACACGGAATCAGTTTTGGAGCAATCAATGAGTGGAGATAGCTTCCTTGAGTCATCAGCGCCGCCTCCAAAGAAAGCAAAAACCTTTCTCGATAGTCTCTGCCACAAATTTGGTGAAACTATTGAAAAGATAGAGAGCAAATACGCACAGCACCGACAGCACCGACTGAAACCACAGCAACAGACGTGGCTTTCATGACGACAGTAATGTGCCTAATGAAAGACTTGCCAGTGACGGTGAAAGACAACTTCCAAGAGCATATGTTAATGGAGCTTTATCGCTTACGCCGTGAAAATAGGCCGACTTATAATTAAGTCAATAAACCTAGAACTCCACACCCACACGAAGACAATGTACTAAAGATGTTAAAATTGCTATGAAAGCGTTTTTATTTCATTTTGAAAACAATTTGTAATACAAAGTATTCGTTACTAAGTTTTTCGCAATATTCAAAAAGCTTTCTATTAAAAATTTGTTCGCTATTTTTACATTAAAATGTAGCTGGTTCTATGGCAAAAACCATATAATATAAATAAGTTTCGTAAGCTAACGCGTATCTTTAGCCACATACATAAAATTGATTTACATATATAAATTTTGTCATAGAATAAACTATATTTTAATTAAAAAATACAAAAAGCGATTTTTAATGGAAAACTTCTTGAATATTGGGAAAAACTAAATGCAGAATACTTCTGTGAGTAACTATACATATTAATCCTATGTTATTTTTTGGTTTTAACAACTAAGTAGTCAATGAAGACAATTTGTAACTTTGTTATTGTATAACAAACAACATTAGTTTAGAGGTTTCAAGAAATTCTATGTTGTTGGACATTTGACCATCATGTCTCATGAAAATTTTTCCCCTGAATCCGATTATAAAGAAAAGGACGCACGTACGTTACTGAGCAATATAAACATTTCTTTTAACATTAATGAAGATTATACAAGTTTCTGTAATCTAAGGGCCGAATTCGCAGTGCGTAGTTAACTCTCAATCGGCAGTTAACTACAGATTTTTGTACAGTGAGTTAACTACGCACTGTGAATTTGGCCCTAAGTCAACAACATAATTTGTACGATGTATGTATGTATGAAGAAATGTATTTACTTCCAGTTTCTTTCTTGTGCGTCAAAGTATGATCTTGTATAAAAGCAAATCTGCTGATCTAAATAGAATATTAAATGTTTGTAGAAGTCAAGACCACTTAAGTAAAAATACATACACAAGATTTTGTGCACAGATTCCCGATTTTATTAATAAGAAAATGAGTTGTTTAAAGTTTAAATATTTACTAAAATTTGAAACTGCACGTTCGTATGAAAACCTTTTGTATGCATTTTTACTTAAGTGGTCTTGACTTCTACATTTAATATTCTATATATGTAGCAGGGCCTTATAGCTTTTATACACGATCATAATTTGACGCACAAGAAATAAACTGGAAGTAAAAACATTTCTTCATATTGATGTTTCCACCAAAAGTTAATTTTTATGAAAATTTTGTTAAAAATTATATAAATTATGCTGTATACATAGATATTTGAAAGTTGTATAACCTTTATTAAAGCAAAAAGAAATTTTGATATTGCCCAGCTACATGCATATGTCCAAAAAAATGTTCAATAAGTGTGCGGACTTTTTTTTAACAAAAAGGTTGTATTTTCGCATAAAAATGTTTGTATTTTGATTTCATAATCGAATTCAGTGGCAAAATTTACAAAAGACATGTGCCACAGATCACATTTCTTGTAAACTAGTTTAATTTTTTAAAAATTTTTAAAGTTTTTTTGGAAATAAAAATAATCTAACTCAATGTGTTTTAATTAGTTTGAAAAAAACTACATAAATTATTTCTAATTTCTATAGAACTTCTTCCGCCATAATGGTGCGAATTTGATGATTGTGCAATCGATGGGATGTTACTTGCAACTTCACTACGCCATAATCCGTCATGGAAGTCACCACTTGAATCTTCCCAATCAATGTAGTTGTTCGCAATATACGAAGATGCATCAATATTATTAAGCATAATAAAATTATGCAATGTTACGCACGCCAGCACAATTTTTTCTGCATTTTCCGGAAGTAATGTTGTTAGTAAAACTCTCCAGCGACACACTAATATTCCAAAGGAGTTTTCGATTGTGCGACGTGCTCTTGATAACCTTTTATTAAAGACGTCCTTATCATTTGGTAACCTCTCGCCAGGGTAAGGACGCATTAAATGTATTCCCAAGGGAAAAGCAGCATCACCAACAAAAAAGTGCGGAGTTTTGATTTGCGTATTTGGTAAGTTTTTCGGTGCAGGAATTGAAAGTTTGTTATTTAGCAACCTCTTTCCCAACCGGCTCACTTGGAAAATGCCTATATAAAGTGAAAAAATATGTATACATATTAATGTAAATAAGAATAAACTTTCACAAATATGTATGTAGGTCCTCACTGCCATCACTCTGGCTTCCATAGGCTCCAATATCTATGTGGGTAAATCTATATCGAGCATCACATACCGCTAGCACAATAGAAAAAAATTTTTTGTAGCAGAAAAATTGACTACCGCTATTAGGTGGACATTGAATGGCGATATGTTTTCCATCAATTGATCCAACGCAGTTGGGCATATTCCACAACTCCCAGTAATCTTGAGCAATTTGCTTGTAATCTTCTTCGTTTGGCTCAGACACATAAATATTGCCCAACTTGCTCCAAAGCACTTCAGTTGTTTCGAGAATAATGCGTCGAACAGTTTCCTTGCCTAGTTGAAATGACCACGCCAACGATTGGAAGGAGTCTCCTTGTGATAAATATCTTTTTGGAAAAGAAAAAAACACCTACTGAATATTTATTAAATTAAAATAAACAAACTTACTGCAATGTCAAGGCCAATCGACATTCCGGTTGCACAGGCTCCCTCAGCGAATACTTTTTAAGGAACGGCTTAACAAGAGTTAGCAAAACTTCGTATACTTGTGGCGTCATTCGCGTGTATATAAAAAATTGCCGGTGGTCAATCTCCTTCATTATCAAAAATGTTCGTACGAAAAACCCTTCCTTTTTCCTGTTTCTGTTCATCTCCCTGACTGAACACGACCGAATTCTTTTTTTTTTAATTTCACCAATTTTGGTTAAGATGCATATGCTTTCTAAAGCGGATGTAAGCAATTTAAGTGCCTTTAAGTGTTTTAACTTTCGATTCATTTTTCACAGCACAAATCACAAAATCTTTAATTGTTCAATTCACGTAATAGGGATGAAACGATACGAGTAAATACTGGAGTCGGAGAAAACATCGATGGCACTATTGATGCATCGATATTTTTGAATTTTTGTTAGTAATCGATGGTTTATGGCGACTATATGTGTTTCTTTTGTACACCTCTGCGCATGTAAAATGAAATCATATTACTTTCTAGTTTTAAAGGCTGGTTTTCATAGGTCAAAATCTCTGACATCAAAAACTGCCTTCTTCTGACAGCTGTTCATTTGGTGTCAAATGCGTTTTCATTAAATTGTAAAAACTAACCCAAATGTCGATACCGCAGTGCATATCAAAGACTGTCGTCAGATTTCGGTGTCAGGTAATTGACATTCCGTTTTCATTACTGATGTCAAATGTAAAGTTAAATTTTTACAAAAAAGTGTAGAATACCGACCTTTTAGCTATAGACAATCCAAAAATATCATTGGATAGAACTCTTCATGCCGATTTCAACCTTGCCAAAAGAATTTAGCGCACTAAGAAGATATAGGAGGTTAAGTTAAATTTTTCGACATTTTGAAATATCAATATCTTATGAACTACACAACCGATTAAACAACTAATGCTGTCAAAATATAAACGATTAGTTTATCTTTCAGTTGATGTACATAATTTTACTGATTTTTTATTTTTGTAAGTCAAAAATACTAAAAAACGTGAAAAATTTAATTTTTACATAAAATTACCTTTCTAGAAGAAGTGCAAGTTATTACCATTTAAAGAAAGGTTTTTAATAGGTCAAAATTTTACGAAAGTAGTGGTAAAAGTCGATATTTTTTTAAATGGCGTTTACATAATTTTTTTTAAATGGTAAATTAATCGTATAAAAGGTACTAATACTATCTTTTCTAATCGGTCAAGTAGTTTCCGAGATATTAAACATATAAAAACAGGAAATTTCAAGTTTCACCTTTTTATTGGCTTTGGTTTTTTTTGTGCCAAATAATCTTGGTATGGTTGAAATCAGCATGAAAAGTTCTAGCAATCTGCATTTTTGGATTACCTTCATAGCCAAAAGTGCCGATACGAGTAGGTATCGATACTTTAGATCCGATGTTTTTCTTACGATACTACTTCCAAGTAATGGTATCGATACCTGCATGGTATCGTTTCATCCCTACATGTAAGCAAAATATAGCCACCTAAAAGTCCACACTACGTTGCTTATGCATTTGACAGACTTTTCGTTCATTTTCTGACAGTCAGTTACGGCAGCTTATTCATATTATAGTTAGCCCTTAAAGCTCAAATGGACAACGACGTAACGTAGACGTAGGTTGACGCAGACACGATCTACCTTATGGGATTCGCGTGTTAACGAAAACTCACCACCTCATGGCGGTGACGTTGCCGTTGCTTCTCTCTATCTCTCTATCAACAGCAAATTTGATATGCTGCTGCGTACGTCAACCTACGTTTACGCTACGTCGTTGACTAACTGCGCTTTTAGACTGCGGTAATTTACACTGTAGGAAGTGCATTTCGTCTTGTAATTTTTCCACTTTTTGCACTAAGAGTATTTTCTCGTCTTGTAAAGAGCTGACGAGAGTCAAGAATGATAGAATACAAGATTGCGCCAATGAGAGAGGATTTTTGAGCGTAATTTTTGCGTGACGTCATCTTGGTGCAATTGCGAGAGAGAAATGCCAAAACGCATATAAAAATATGTAAACAATGCAGAAAAATGTGTTAATTTTAATATTACATGGCCCAATTTTGCAGGAATCAATAAATATACATAGATTGATTAATTAGGAACACGTAGCAATAATTTTGGACATGTAGCCCTTTAGATAAGTACGATTTTTAGCACATGAAAAAAATATATGTATTAACAGTGTTTGCAATTTCATGTAGACCAAAAGGAAGGTGTGCAGCAAAGTGAATTTTTGGACTTGCCATTTTAAAAAGCCATGCAGAGTGCATATTTATATTTGTGGACGGTAGCCAACCGCCATAAACTCCACAGCTGTTGACTCCACAGCTTTTATTTGATGACTTTTGTACCATTTCCCAGAGGATGCATGAGTGTGGCTTTTTTGGAAGCAAATATTCTATGTCAGCAAAACATAATTTAAGCTGAACTTTTGAATGTATAATAATTTGGGCACTGTTTTGTATTAGGTACGAAACAGCGCGGTAAGATGCCGCTTGAATTAGCGCCTGGCGACCTTATCCACTGGTGCATACCAGCACTAAAAGAATCAGGTACTAACAAAAATGAGTAGGTAGTGAAGTTCATGTATCTATTTACTGTAGACACTGCTTTTGTATGTATGCCATTGCCAGCAAACTAAACCTGTCTATATTCACCAATATTTCCACCTACGACAATTCACCAAGGAAAGGCCAACATAGTTCAATGTAGAAGCTCATAGCTCACACACATAGCACAAAGCTCGATTTGGTGTTTAATGCATGTCCTCCCCGGCAGAACTGCTTCCACTTTTTCGCCAGGTTTGCGTCCGTAGGAAACGAAAAAAAACTTATATAGCACGCTTTCCCTTTGTTTTCACTATCACACTTTGCCACTGCACACTTCATTTTGCTTTTTAATGTCTTAATAATTGTTTAAAGCCACGCAGAAATATTAACGCATATATCGATGGCTGAGTGGAAGATCGACCTATCTCGGCAGCCAGTTCGAAAACGCTCTATATCAAAAAACTTTTCAAGAACGCCCTATTTCAGAATTTAATTGAAAAACACCCTATTTTAAAATTCGGTTCAAAAACGCCCTATCTCACTTCAAAATGTATTGAAAATATGCTGATTTAGGGCGTTTTTGAATCGGCAGCTGAGATAGGGCGTTTTTGAAATGAATTCTGAAATAGGGCGTTCTTGAAAAGTTTTTTGAGATAGAGCGTTTTCGAACTGGCTGCCGAGATAGGTCGATCTTCCACTCCGTCATCGATATATTAAAATTGTTATTTGGTTTTTTCGTATGCTCACATTCAACAATTGCACCAAGATGACGTCACGCACACAGTTCATTCTGTCAAAATCACAAAGAGCGGATTAGCGGTACCGCGATTGGCGCAATCTCTATTTCTCTCAATCGTGGACGAGAGTAAACAATTTAGCGTTCTCGGTGCACAAAGCGACGATTTCGTCGAGCACAGTTTTTAAAGATATTTGCTGCTTGTGTGCATATTTGTTTGAACAATCACTCGGACTTTGTTGTTGTAATAGCATCGGTGTTGATTGCTGCGGTTGTTTAGCGGGAGAATGTTTATTACTCAGCTCTTGAGAAACCATGTCATTAGACGAGACGGGGAGTTGAGTCAAGAATGATAGAATACAAGATTGCGCCGATCAGAGAGGATTTTTGAGAATAACTTTTAAGTGACGTCACACTGGTGCAATTGCGAGAGATAAATGCCAAAACGTGAGCAAGAATGGAAGAAGAAGAAAAAATGTTGCAAAGAAAACGTAAACAAGTTGCACAAGTGTGACGTCATGCAAACAACGATTCTGTCAAATTCGTTAAGAGAGGAATAGCGATCCGAGATCGGCGCAACCTTTGTATTCTCTCAATCGTGGAGTTGAGTATTAGCTACTCGCCCATCCATTCAATTGACAAGAGGGGGTGAACGCAGTGATTTTCGAAGGAAAGCAGTGCAAGCAGCACAATGGTATAGCTTGTTTGATTTTTGCATAAACTCAAGAGCGAGTGTTTTTATAAATAACCCTATTTGGCGTTTTTTCCAAAACCAAACTGGAAGTTGACGACTCAAATGTTGGTGTAGTGGCATCTAAGACATCTACATCCAAATTCTGGGAAGAATAGTTCATCACATCCCTAAGCGCTTCATCCAAGAAATCTTCGTCAGCAGTGGTTGACAATGCCGACCCAGTATTCCGCATGATAACTTGGCAGGATTGCGTTAGCTGTGCTTTAGGTAAATTATCTGGTCGTCCACTGCCATCCTCATCGCCAGAATCTTCATCTCTTTCAACATTTTTGCCACTCGGAGGTTCAACAACTATTTTTTCAATAATCTCATCCCTATCATCATCTGACATCAATTCCTCAGGGATATTTGTTGCTTCCTCCAATGTCAAACAAGTATATCTAAACATAAAAACAACTTTTATGACACTCAAATACTATAAAAAAATATACTTGTAATATTTAAGTGTACCTATGCACATGGACGTAAAAACCATGAGATAAGTTCGCTGTTGCCAATACCTAACATAACCACAATTAGCAAAACGTACTGGGGATGCCCACTGTTACATATATGTAACGCCTCCAGTCGGCACCTCTCCCAGGATATTTTTTTTTCTCACGTTTTTATAAGTTATTTTGCATATTTATAAATAACTTTTTATAAAAAATATTCTTCCAAACAGACTTTTAAATATATTAATATTTATTTTTACCTTCGGCGTGACATCATATCGCCGCTTCTACCACTTCTAAAAAACTTCACTTCGCGTCCAAGCAACTGCGTTGAAACTGAAAAGACAACTGACTTAATTTTCAAATTATTCTAAGAAATGGTAGACAAAAATTCTGATTCGAAGAAGTATGCTGCACTCAGCCAGCGCTTAAATTTTGAATGCGCTGCGTTACAAATACATATGTAACAGTGGGCACTATTAGGTTAAACACCAAAATTCTGCTATAAAAGTCAGTCTTTCTAAATTTGTACAACTCAGACCTCGTAATTGCGTACTTGCTGGGGCTAGTGGGACTCACTCGGTATGCGTTTGTTTGCATCATGAAAATGTCGATCTAATGCTAGATGCTATAAACATTGATAAGTTGACTTGCAATTAGGATCATCCAATCAAAGTTCACCATGATGCCATCAATATGATATTGTGTGAACCCAGATCCAAAATGCTTTTTGGATAACTGCTCTTCATGTCTAGGTATAGACAA